CCGTGCCTTCAGCTCTCCTCTCAGGGCCCCCAGCTCCCCTTGCTGCCTAAGGCAAATCACAAGATCTCTCTTTCATGCACATGGCCACAGAAGCATTCTCTGAGAGTCATTGAGCCCACCCATATGACCTTATTTTGGAAGAGGAAAGATCCAAAATTTAAATAATATGCACAAGCACTGAGCATTAAATGGAGGAGGAGAAAGTTTCCTGAGTCAACTTTGGACAGAAGACTCCCCCTTCAAAACCTCCATCTCTCACAGTGTATAAGCGTGTAAATGGGCAGAGGAGGTTTAAAACCCACAGTTAGGAAGAGTGGAAACAGATGACTGAATGCATTCTTCCACCATGGCACACAGAGGCGGCACAGGAACCCCTAGCAGGAGACACAGAGACAGTGCCCTCCGGCAGCCTGTGGTGGGGAGCCTGACCCCCAGAGGGACCAAAGGAAAACAGGGCCGTGCCTATCATCCTGGGCTCTCTTTCAAGTGTGAGCCACTGGCCAGAGGAAGGACTTCTCTTATTTCTTGGACACTGGCCAATTAGCTAATTAGTTTGTGTATAAATTTCAACAGGAAGGCTGGAAAATTCAATCTCAGCTTTAGCGATGAAGTTCGTTCTCCAAAAGCTGCCTTGCCAATCTACCAAATAAATCTCTATCACAAAAATATCGCACAAAATGCAATCTCTGCCTGACTTTGGAATATCCAGAAGCAAACGGGCAAGGACACACACAGCCTCTCTGTCAGCCTCGCATGGGCTACCCGACACAGCCCTTCTGCTGGCAGCCTGAAACATGGTCCTCACGAATCCATTAAATAAGAAGGAATGGGTCAAGGAAAAAAACTGTGTTGTGCATTAGGAATGCTTTAAACAGAGAATTTCAAGAAATACACACCTATGAGGCAACCCGCTGGGTTGGAAAACTCTGGAGAAATACAGACTAGAAGAATAAATATTTATTGACCACCTACTACAAGTAGGGCACAGTCTCAGGCCAACTAGGTAAGCTCTCTCACGTGGAATTCTCAACCACGGAATAGGTGCATGGGTAAAAACACAAGGTGGGCAAAGGGAACCTGCTAAACGTGTGGTACAGAGAGATGCTTTGTCGCACAGGGGAGGCGTGCTCCACTGCAGCCAGGGTGGTCGGGGGGCTGCACAGAGCTGGGGTGCTTGGCACCATCCTCAAGGCAGAGCAGAATTTCTCTCAACCTGTGATCCCCAATTACGTGGGGAACACTTTAAAAAAATACAGATTCCTGAGCCCATATATCAGATTTATTGAATCAAAAGCTTCAGTTCCAGAGTGTTACCCTAGAATCCATATTCTTTCATTATTTTTTATCATTATTATTAGGATTATTATGGCAAAACATACACAAAAGTAGAGAGAAATGAACTCCGTGTGCCCACTGTCCAGTTTCAGCCATCACTGGCCCAGGGACACTTTTTTTTTTTTTTACCTATACTCTTACGTACTTTCCCCTCCTCCGGTATTAGAAAAATCTATATACTTTTTAAACCAGGACACTGGGGCAGTCAGACCATGGATGTGAACTGGGAACCACTGATCAAGATGCAGATTAATAGCAAGGGAATCCCAGGAATAGTGGGGACAGAGGCTCAGAGGAAGGAGAGAATGGTGTTAGGGGGAGAATGGCAAGTCATTTGGGGTAAGTACCTAAACAGAAGGAACAGGGGTAAGGGCCAAAAGACTGGGGGCTGCCAGGGCCCTGTTAACATGTATGGTGTCTTTCTGAGAAGCACAAAAAGGCAGCGCCTCTGGGCACAAAAAGCGCCCCTTTCCCGGGGTTGAAGCCGCCCACGCGAGGGGAGTGGGGCTGGATGCCTTTGACTTCCATGTCGGGCCCGGACCACAAAGCCGTGCACAGCAGCTCCACGGCCAGGCTGTGAGCGATCTGGGACCCAAAGAGGTCTGGACTTCATCTGGTAAGGGTTGAAGGGTGCTAAGAAGGGGAGCATGCGATAGTCTGTGCTTTAAAAGAATACTGGGCAGCAGGGAGGGGGACGGGGACAGACTGGAGGGCAGAAAACCAAGAGGCAGGGAGTGGGCTGAGTCAGTCAATTACCGCAAACCAGCCAGGGAAGAAGGGAGAAGGCCTCAAGGTCAAGCCTCAGCAGGGGGAGGTTTGAGGGAGAGATCTTGTGTGAGGTGCTGGGGATAACTGGGGGCTGGACAGAGAGAGACACTGGATTTAGCGATATGTGAGTCACTGGCATAGAGAAGTTATTTGAAGCCGTGGGAAGACTGAGATTGCTCAGGGAGAGTATTTAGGGTAAGAATAAAGAGGGATGAAGGCCCTGGGGAAAACCAGCCTTTAGAAGATGAAGGGTAGGGAGGGAAGGAGCCAGTCAAGATGATACAGAGGTTGAGGAGAAACGGTTGAGGGAGAGGGGGAGAGAGAACAGCTCATAGAAGCCAAAAGAGCAACTGGTATGGTGAGAGGAAAGCATTCATCTAGGGAAGCAGGGCTTTAAGGGAAGGCTGAGTTTTGGAGTACCTAGAATGAGAAGCTAAGGAGTTTGGAGCTGGGCTTGAAAAGGCAGGGTGACAAGTGTTATGGAGGATAGCAGACTTGGTCAGTCCGTTACATTTCCTATGTCTGCCATTTACTGACTATGGCCGTGGACAAATTACTTAAGGTGAGTCTCTGCATCCTCTTAGTAAAATGTAGAAGGCTGTACCCACCCTAATAGGGACGGCGTGGGGAAGGCATCTCAAGGAATGGCAGTTTTTCTTCTGGTCATTGGCACCTAGCAATGCATTGTCTTGTACGATCTTTCCACGTGTTCAACTCTAGCATCTCTATCTAGCTTGTAAATTGTTTTGGGGATGGGGATTAGGGTTTGAAACTAAATAAAGTCAATAGTCACATGCTGGTATTTACTATGCACAAAACAAGAAGAACAGGTTGAATAAAAGAAGATAGAGAGTTTTAAAAAAAGAAGTGGCCCTTAAGAGAGTTTGCAATTTAGTGAAGGATCCACACAGACGTCTAATCATAACACAAGGCAAGCAGTGGTAGGTATAGCAATGAAAGTCTCAAATTGCAATTCATTCCCAAATGAGAGTGTGAGGGACAGAGACCTACTCTGGCCAATGGGACCAGGCAGGTGGTGGTGCACGAGGCTTTGGGGCTGGACAGAGGAGGTGGAGAGAGAGAAGCACTGCAAAGTTGAGAATTGGCAGGTGAGTCTGGGGAAAGTTAAGAACCTTCATGGGTTCAAAACACGGTGTGTGGGAAATGAGGAGAGAAAGTTGTATTGGGCTGTGACAAACACAACCTAAGGCGACCCCCAAGGAGTCACACCCTGGTACAATCCCATAACCCCCCCTTCCCTTGAATGTGGTAGAACCTGCGACTTACCTCTAACCAACAGAATATAGCAAAGCTGACATGACATCACTATTGCAATTACGTGACATTATACAGCCATGGCAAAGGGATTTTGCAGATATATTTAAGGCTTCTAATCATTTGACTTTGAGTTAATCAAAAGGGACATTTTCTTGGATGAGCCTGATTACCAACTATTGAAAAGAGGTCCAGGCCTTCCCTGACGTAGAAGACTTAAAGCAGAAAAGACTTGCTCTTCTGCTGGCCTTGAAGAAGCAAGCCACAGGAGTTCTAAAGCCACAAGGATAAAAGTTTTGCCAACAAGCACATCAGCTTGGAAGACAAGCCCAAACTTGAGATGAGAATGCAGCCTGTCTGACACCTCAATCATAGCCTTATGAGACCCTGAGCGGAGGACCTAGATAAGCCATGCCTGGACTCCTGACCTCTGGAAACTGCAAGGTAATAAGCAAGTGCTCTTCGAAGCCTCTAAGTTCATGGTAATTGGTTATGCAGCAACAGGAAACAAACCCATGGACTGGCATTGCAGAGGGCCACGAATAGGAGGCTAGAAAGTATGGGCTTTATTATACGGGCTATAGGAAAGCACTGATTATTTTTTTCCCTTGCTTTGGGAATCTAAGAAATGGCAGAAGGAAGAAAAGCCTGGTGGGGGGTTGACCAGAACTCCTCTAAAGAATGTAGCCAGGGCATTGTTCCAAGGAACAGGCCAGTAAATTTTAGGTGAGTGACTAAGTTCTAGGTTAAACCAAGCCGGCTACTCTTCTACCCAATTAAAAAAAAAAAAAAAAGGAAAAAAAGGAGGAAGAAGCAAAGACCAAGAAATTGGCAGCCATTGAAAAAAACCTTAAGGAACTTCAATGTCCTTGTTGCTAATTATAAATATTTACTCCTCCCAGAATTCCTGACCTCACAGAAGAGCCTACGTCAATAGCCTTGCTCCCTTACTGGAAGATTAGCGTGCGCGTGCACGTGAATGTGTGTGTGTGTGTGTGTGCACGCGTGGTGTGGGTGTGTATGCGCCTGTGTGTTTCTTGGAAGGGAACTGGACAATAATAAAGGACTGGATGATCTTCAAAAAGTCACTTCCTGTCAGACATTGTCTAGTTCCCATTCTCCACCCCCCGACCCTAGATCATAAACCCCTTGATTCCCTAGCAACTCCTCCTTCCCTGATTCTATCTGCTGGAGACAACTAAGCTAAACAAACTCAGGAAGTGGCAAGAGATTGGGAAGGGGAGGAAGCTTGTGGCACACAAGGAAAAAGTAAACAGAATGCCCTGGTGTTCAAGGAAGAGGGTGGGGGAGAGAGAGAAACCAAGGTCGAGCCAAGGTCGCCTGGCGCCAAGCCTTTAAAATGTCCTGCTTGAGCTTTAAATCAAAACTGGCATGAACAGTGGGTCAAATCTCCTGGGGCCATTCAAATATTAACATCCACAGTGATAAACAGCCCCCAAAAAAGTCCTCTGTAAACAAATTGGAACAAACAACTATAGCGGGTTGCTAAGAGACCACTTGGGCAGGAGCCAAAGTCAGTTCATGTGTCTAATGAAGTTTTTATTTATTTTTTTATTTTTATTTTTTGCTTTCAGGAAAAAGAGGAGGAGAGAGGAGGCTACCTGTAGATGACTCCATGTTGGTGGAGAAACATGAGGGCTGACGTGACCTCTGCAGCATAGAACCGTGAACGAGGCTCGTCGAATTTTCGGGAGCGCTGAATCTGAAACATGAGGTCTCCACCGTTTACATACTCCATGACGAAAAAGAGGCGGTCCTGAAAGGAGAGAAGAAAATGCCATTTGGGTCATTTCATTGCAGCTGCCCACACAGGCCAGCATCGTGTGAGCCCAACACAAGATAACCAGGACTCGAGGGGGAAGACCCTCAGAGGTGGATGAACCCTGGTAGCACGATCCAGAAAAAAGACGAAGGAATAAAGCACATAAATTAGGGTAGGAAACGTTCTTTTAAAATCTCTTTCTCTGTGTTACTTTCATGGACATCAGCTTGATCTAGTGGAAGTGGCCTAAAATGGATACAAAGGGGACTCAGGCCTTTGATTTCTGTTACCAACTTCACTTGTGGCCTTGGACACACCTCTGCCCTTTTGGAAGCTCCAGATACCTTTACACGTGTGGCAGGTTGAATAAAAGTCCTTCAAGAGATACCCAGGTCCCAATCCTTGGAATGTGTGAATGTTACCATATATGGCAAAAACTGATTTTGCAGATGTGATTAAGGATCTTGAGATGGGAGATGACCCTGGACTATTAGGGTGGGCCTTAAATGCACCCACAATGGTCCTCAAAAGAGGGAGGTAGAGGGAGACTCGAAAAGGGAGGAGGTGGCCAAGTGACTACAGAGGCAGGGTTTGACGTGATGCAGCCAGAAGCCAAAAACGCGGGCGGCCACCAGAAGTGGTAAGGAACAGAACCTCTGGAGAGAGAACAGCTCAGCCGACGCCTTAACTTTGGCCCAGCAATGCCAGACTTCCAGCCTCCAGAACTGTGAGAGAATAAATTTCTATTGTTTTAAGCCAACAAGTTTGTGTTCATTTGTTACCCCAGTCCTAGGAAACCAATACATTGTGACATGGAACAATGAGACTGTGAGACCGCCATTCCTGATGAGGGCCACATTATATCCTGGAGGACATTCCCGCTAGGATTCCTATGGATACTTTTGTCAAGGCAGCCTTCAGAACTGCCAGACCACAGTCACACTTAGCCGGGGGTGACCCCTTCTTATCTGTAATCCATGATAACGTGGAGAGGATGCACTGGAATTCACTTTGAACAGTTTCTCGACTCGTCTAAGATCCTACCGTGGGGAATGTTGTGTCAGGCAGCACGCAAAGAATGATAAGCCATCACCTCCCTGGGGGCTTATGGTCCAGGGGTGGAGATGGGAAACACGAGGCATGACAATGCATTAAAGACACCGGGTGCTGATGGATTCAGAAGAAAGGGAGCTCTCTGACCTGGGGGCCATGAAAGATTCAAGATGGAGCTGGCCTTGAGAGAAAGAGAAAGTCAGGGGAGGCATAAACCAATGCCAGCATGTGGGAACAGAGCGAGCATGTTCAGGGGCCAGAAAACTGAGCAGCTCAGCGGGGGATGAAGGCTGACGCAGTCAACGGGGAGGCGTGAGAGACCGGAGGGGTGGAGTACATTCTTAACATACGTAGTCTACATGCGGCTTCCAGGAGGATGAGTGTTATTTTCCATGAGGACTGAGTACAAGTTACCAATGATACTTCTTTATGCATGAAGCATATCTACTTATTATTGACATCTCTTTGAAAATAAGTCCACAGCTAAGAATTGTTACTAAATCAATCTACCTTCTCCCCAACCACAATCTCCAGAATTATGCAAGCTTTACTGGTATTCACAAAGGGCCTAAGGTCTAGCTTCTCTTCCATTTGTCTTAACCATCTCCTTCAAGGCCTGCCCCATTTTCTCCCCAGCACAATTCTGTACTCAGAAGTACTGGGCTACCTCGCCGACTATTCATTCAATCGTCCATTCTCCATTCGAATCCTCGTTTCAGAGTCAGATGTGCAGGCCAACCCCAGCCCCATGAAATCAGAATCCCTGAGGTGGGACCCAGGCCTAGTAGTTGTTAAAGCTCCTCAGGTCACTCCAACATGTAGCCAGGGGCAAGAACCACTGACTCCTGTCCATCTGGTTTCTCTCAAGGTATTTTGCATCTGTGCCGTATAAGGATTATAAAGTATTCCAGTCTTTTTGTCTTTTCAAAGATTTCCCCCAAAACAAGGTTTCTCAGACTTATGTATCAGAATCACAAGGGAGTCTTATTAGAATATGGATTCTTGGGCCCCTCACTCGGAGTTTGATTCAGAAGATCAGGAGGTGACTCTGAAAGTCTGCCTCCACAAGAAGACCCCAGGTGATGGGTGATGTTGATGCTGCTGGTCCAGGGACCACGCTTTTAGAATCTCTACCCTAAAGCACTCGGGCAAACCTTTCGCATGGAAAGCACAGCTGTATCATTCGTTTAACACTGGCCTAGTCTGGCTGAACCACACAACCAGAAACAGCTGCTGATGTGCTCACTACATAGTCACCAACCCTGGATTTGGGCTGTAGCAGCAATGGAATAGTTCCTTGGCTATGTTTGAAAAAATCCAAATCTCTAAAGGAGAAAAATGCCCCCTTCTGCATCCTCTTCCCTGGTGGATTTTTGTTCTACCAACACCAGACACACAGTTTTTAAGAATAGGTGCTGTGGAGTTAGAAAGAAGAGCTCCTACACTGACTTCACCACTTACTGACTGCAAATGACTTTGTCTCTCTGGGCTCAGTTTTCTGATCTGTAAAAATGAGGATGACACAGTCATAGGACGTGCCTTACAGACCTCTTACGAGGATTAAATTATAGGTTAAAATGCTGGGCTCAAAACTGGCATTCCATAAAGACCGTTTATGACTATTGTTAGCAACAGTATTTATTAATAGCGATTATTATTTTTATCACTATCAAGTCTTCATTTTTTCTGACCTCTCAGCAGCTTTCTTCCCCAACCACCTCCTCTTCTACCAAACACCCGTTTCCTTTGGCTTTCAAGCTGGTTCTCTCCCTACGTTTCTGGCAGGGTTTCTTCTGCTCTCCTGGGGGCTTCTGTTCTTCCCCACCAGTAAGTGCTGGAATCCCACAAGGCTGAGTTCTAGGCCCTCCCCTTCCTTGCCCAGCACCCACTGGGGGACTCATCTACACCCAGTTTCTAAGGCCTCTCTATGCAGATGACTCACGAGCTTGGCCCTCCACCCTAGACTCCTGCTGCATGCTCCAGACACACTAGTCCAATGGTTGTCCAGGTGTCTCAAAGACATTCAAACCCAACACGTCCAAAACCGACCCCATCATCTTCCTCAACAAACTGGTCCTTGGCCAGGATTGCCTGTCTCAGGCAGGGCCTCCCTGTTCAGCCAATTTGACAAGTCAGAAATCCGGAAGTCATTCTTACTACCTCCCTCTCCCTCATCCCTCACGTCCCTGAGCCCTCTCCTTTTACTTATTGTGCCTTTGCACCTGTAAACTTTCTGTTTCTCTCCAGCTCCGCCACCGTCAGGCACACCATTCTGGCCCAAGCAACAAGCATCTCTTGTCTAGATTCTTGCAAGTGCCTTGTCACCAACGCTTCCCACAAATGCTGAACATGCTATCGGCGGAGCGACCCTGTTGAAATGGAGATCTAATTGCAACCCACCCCCTTCCTCCTCTCATTTTACTGCTTAATTCTTTTAAAGGTTTCCTCTTACTCTTAGAACACACAGAAAACTCCTTAACATGCCTCAAAGCCTGTGTGATCTTCTGAGTCATCTCCATTCCAGCTGTCCCTTGTTTCCTCTGCTCCAGAGCCTTTGCTCATGCTGTTTCCTCTGCTGGGAATGTTTTTCCCTCTCTCTTGCCCTGACTAATCCTTCTTCATCCTTCAGATTTCAGTGCAGCCATCTTTTCTTCGAGGAAGCCGTCCCTGACTTCTCAAATGAGGTCGAACGCCCGCAGTGTGTGACACTCTGTTGCAGCATTCGGCACAGTGAAGGTGTTATTGATATTTCTGTCATTTATTTATGACTTTCTCCCCCAGTAGTCTGTATGCTTCATGAGGGCAGGAACTGTCGGTAATTCTAGCCTATGGTTTTTTAAGGGAATTAGGTTAACACGCAAAAAAGCTGCTCTAATTCCCTTTAAAAACAAGCACTGGCTGAGCACCCTGGCCTATGCCTATAATCCCAGCTATTTGGGAGGCTGAGGTGAGAGGATTGCTCAAGCCCAGGAGTTCGAGACCAGACTGGGCAACAACACAGTGAGGCCCAGTCTCTAAAAAAATATTTAAAAATAAAAAATAAAATTATCCAGATGTGGTGACATGCACCTATAGTCATGCACCTACAGCCTCCAGCTACTCAGGAGGCTGAGGCAGGAGAATCCCTTTAGCCAGGAGTTGGAGGCTGCAGTGAGCTGATTGTGCCACTGCACCCCAGTCTGGACAACAGAGTGAGAAATCCCATCTCTAAAAAACAGTAAACATAAAAAATTAAAAACAAGCCCTATGTGGATAAAGAACTAAAAAAAGATTAGGGTGCTACAAGCAGTAAAGAGTGGTCTAACACTTGTATCTGCCAATTTTTACTGCTAGCTAAAAGGTGAGTCAGCCAGCTGCAGAGAGCCTGCTGTTTGCAGAATCTGGGGATAGGTCCCCACTCTGAACATTTCAGCCACAGAGGGTCTGACTGTATCAACCACCCAGTATTTGGTGACAGCCTTGGACAGTTCTTTCGCTCCATGGATAGATGTCTTCACTTCCCAGCGAGATGGTCAGCTCTTTGAGAAACACATCTCATTCTTCCCAGCAACCCCAGTTAACACTAGCTCAAAACTCTGCACCTGAGGCAGCACTCAATAAAAATCTGCTCATCCAGCGTTCTCCAGTGAGTGTTACGAGAGGAGGAAGTGTTGCTGAGTAGTTCCCTACCGTATTCCCAGCAACCAGAGCTGAGCCTGGCATGGTGGATTCCTGGTGCCGAATGCCTGAATCCTTGAACACCCACCGTGGACTCAGGCTGCTAGAAACTCAAAAGTAACCCAGAGTAGGTTTTCCCATGTTACTTCTATTATTAACCTCATTTGGAGCTATTCTAATTTTAGCCCATTTTGAACTTTAGTTTTAATCTGCTTTCTACTCAATACAGCTCAACGCTCATGGCCCCCAAAGCCTAAGTAACTTTTTTACACATTAGGGGTGTT